AATGGCATGTAAAGCGGAATAGCAGCAAGCAAATCGAACCGTAAACGGAAACGGACGTACGGAACGACACTAACAATGCCAACCATTATGTACCAGCACCGCCGCGGCGCAAGAAAACCCAACCAAATATATACGGAGCAAAGCGGAACAAAAAGGATAGCGGACCTGCGATCACGCCAGAGTACAGCTAGATCGACTTTGCTTAAAAGGGCAGCGAAAACATCAGCGGCTTGCTTAGTTCTTCCCAAGTGAATCGATAGATAACAGCGGCGGTATCCATCGACAGCGAGTGGTGATTTCCATCACCAAAACAGCATTTGAAGACACCGGAGACGAACACACATTGGGAAGCCAGCGACAACATATAGAACGCGGAGGATATTCTTGTATACGAACTCTGGGTCCGACTGAGTCCTACCCCGGCCAAAGAGAGTTTGTTACATAATATTTCCCATAAAGGACACATACATGAGCCGTTTATTCTGAAAGTGACATAATTCACATTTTCGGAAAATTTAGTTAATGATAACACTGATTAAATTTAACGGTATCTGTTCATTAAAAATTGCATTGAAATGTTGGGAATCACTGAGGTTTGGTTCGAGATAAGTTTTACTAATCAGCAGCATAACAAAGATTTTTATTTGAAAGTGGCAAAAATCAAGTTGATAATATTGATTACACCGAGCTAAAGTCAGTTATCAAAAAAAAAAAATATACCCATAAAACTAGGGGCTGAGTATAGTAGCTGTTTTTAGATTTTCTCTCTGGCGACAGGATTTTTTAAAAGGACTTTGAAATTTCAAAGATATGATTATGTATAGTTCCAAAACTTATTTAAAAAAGTCAGTGCAGTGTACATAGAATAACAATATGGGTACTAAATGAAAAAGGAAATTCTGTAGAATTGAAAAATATAAAATTTTGGTGCATAATGACGAACAGGTATCGAAAATGTCCTTTTAAAATTTTGTCCTTATTTTCAAGTTCAAGGGAACCTCCTAAAAAATTGTAAAATTATATCCGAGGTTAATCCGAGGTAATTGATTCCAATAAATGAATGTTTGGCACTTAAACGTGTTCTACGTGTTTGGCCTTGCTTCTTCTCCAATTCGTGTTCTGTTCTGGCATTTCCTACGGGGGCGACCGCTATTTGAAAAATACCTAGACCATAAACTGAGCCATGGACCTCCCGAGTGACAGTAGTAGAGTCAGAATAAATGCAATAGAGTTTTGAAATAGGTTAAAATAAGACCAAAAGTAAATTTTTCACTGATTTTATTTGTTTTACTTTCGCTCTAAAAAAACTTTGCATGTACTTATTTTGCATTGCTCTTTTGTAAATGAAAGCTATCTTTACTGTTAATAGTTTCATTGAAGTTTTTGATCATTACTTCATACCGACGTAGCATTTTCACTGTATGAAAACGATGTAAATTAAAACTGATGGTTTCTTAAGTAATATTGGTTTAAGAAGAAAATGTTAGACATCTAAGAAGTTAAACTATTCTTATTTTTAACCGACTTCACAAAAAGGTGGAAGGTTATCAATTCGTCGGAATATTTTTTTTTTTGTTTGTTTGTTTTTTTTTTTTATGTATGTTGCCGCACAACTTTGGACCACGTTAACCGATTTCTATAATTCCCTTTTTAAAGGAAAGATGTTAATCTTAATCTTACATTTTTTTATGAGAATTGAAGTCAGTTTTGTTTTTTCGCTTAAAAATTAGTTGTTTCTATTACATATCGAGGGCTTATATTCAATAAACTCTATCTGCAATTTTGATAAAAACGTGTTTTTGATGGTAACGTGAGCTGCGATTAGTCTTTAATCCATGGTAATAATGTCAAACTTAAAATATTGCTTTAATGGTATTATATCCTCATTTTGAAAATTCCACTATCTGCAATAACATTTTGTTATAAGAGCAAAATCCTCTATCTACACAATTTTGCTGGAAAATTGTTTTTATTAACATTTCTTGTAGCAGGTAAGTTACATGTGCCTATGTATGTAGGTTTGTATATGTTACCGGAAAATCCAATCTTACGTCAATTGGTTTTGCCCAGGCTAATCTAGTTTTGCCCCAGGATAAAACTAAACTAGTCTCTACCTAATTCGATATATCTGTCTAACCGAAACCAAATTTGATACACAAAAAAATCTTCCATATCCCGTCAAACATATAGTCATTAACAGGGAACGGATTTTTAGGACCTAAAAACCTATAAAAAAGGCAAAATAAAGTAACGAAATAGGCTGGAAAAGGCAAAATAAAATAGCGAAAAAGGCAGGAAAAGGCAACAAAAAAGGTATTGCAAAAAAGGCAAAATAAGGCACTAAAAAAGACAGAAAATACGAAGAACAATCAAAAAATATTTTTATTTTACAATTGTTTATATTACTAGTAAAACGAGAAAAACTACATATGAACTAGTTTCATTATATGAAAAAATTGTACTTAGAATCTTTGACTATTTTCTCCTTTCGAGTTTTTAACTCACACAACTTTTATCTCTATAGTTGTAGTAACATTGAACCACAAGGTGCATTTTGAAGTTTTCTGGCAGCATTTTCATTCGATTTTCGCGAAGAAAAGCGTTGAATTTACTAAATGTGCGCTCGACGTAAGTTGATACAAGTGGAGCCCAATTTATATTTGGAACGTTTGAAACGTTCATATTATCAGGAATAAGGGCGTTTTCCTCGCCCTTTACAATTTTACCCACACCCCTTATTGCCCCAAGCCTTCGTTAGCTGAGAAAACGGCTTTGAATTTTTTCAACACCAATTTGGAAGAGGTCCCTGCGCTTCTATAAGCCGCATGGGCATGTGTATATTTTTTAATCTTAAAAAAAAAAAATGTAAATGCTATAATCACTTTTTTAAAGGTAGAAAAGGCAAATATCTTAAAAAAGGCAAAAAAAGGCAACATCAAATGTGTATATATGGAATCAGGGAAAGCTAAATCGTGGACATTCTTAATCGAATATACCTATCTCTTTAGCAGAAAAAAAGGCAATTTCCATTAAATCCGTTCCCTGGTCATTAAACTCCATTACTGCATTCCATCTCAAGGGTCACCAAGAGTGGAAAACTGCTATTATTATTCCTATTGCCAAACTAAATATAAACAATTCATTAGCTTCGAAATACAGACCCATTTCCCTCCTCCCCTGCATATCTAAAGTTTTACGCTGGAAAAATGGTGAGAGGATGTTCAATGTTGTTAAGTCTTTCCTTTACAACCGGAAGTTCGCTGTTCGTGTCCATAACTGTTATTCAAAAACTGTTCCTCTCTTTAATAGTGTCCCACAAGGATCACCACCTTCGGTTATTTTATTCCATATAGCCTTTGGGAAAGTTAGCTCCATTGTATTTTTTCTAAGACTAAGGACTTGCCGCAATTGGTCCAAATCTTCAGGAGCTAAGATTTTGGTTTTTTAACATATGCAGAAAACACAAATGTATACATCCAACCCTCTCCGTGTATGGCACCGCTATCCACTATACTGACACATTGAAAATAATGGGAATAATTTTTGACAATAAACTGACTTCTAAGCAGCACTGTCATAATATAAGATTAAGCTTACTTGCTAGACTAAATATTATCAAGTTTTTATCATCCACGTATTCTTTAGTTCATATAACTACACAAAGATTGTTCACTGCAGAAATGAGACTTTATTCTCTCACGTCGAATCCTGCTTTCAACCGAAAACCCGATGAAGCAAGCAA